GGGTTGCCATACACTCTCAGCCTGACCTGCCTCATGGGGTTGTTGTGTGGATAAAATGGAGGAGAAAAAGAGGATGTAAACTGCTTTGCGTTCCCATCAGGGAGAAAGCTGGGGTACAAATGAAGTAAGTAAATACATAAATAACCTTCCCCCATTCTTATTCTCAAATGACAAGTAGAAAAGCAGTCAGAAATGGCCAGAGATGTACAGCTTTGTAACACGTAAAGGACTGTGAGTTCATTATAGAAGAGGGCCCACTCTGCATGCAGACGTTTCCATGTCAAGAAGAGAAGAAGATATTGGATTTATACGCCGCCCTCCACTACCCGAAGGAGTGGTTTACAATCTCCTTTCCCTTCCCCTCCCCACAACAGACACCCTGTGAGGTAGGTGAGGCTGAGAGAGCTCTCCCAGAACTGCCCTTGAGAGAACAGCTCTGAGAGAACTTAGGACTGACCCAAGGTCACACCAGCAGCTGCATGTGGAGGAGTGGGGAATCAAACCTGGATTCGAGTCCGCGCTCTTAACCACTACACCAAACTGGCTCTCCTGACACTGTCCCTGTCAGGAGCCGGGCAAAGATTTGCTCTGTCTGGGCTCCCACATTATGGCTGCTGTTCACCGTAGAAGACAACCTCGTGTGAAGTGCCCAGAGTTTGTTCAGATGCTTCAGGTTTGCATCGGTCTTTTCCACGGTTTAGAAACAGACTTTCTCCAAATAATCACCCTCCCTTCTAATACTCATGTTAACCCATGAGGGGTAGGGATGCCAGCCTCCTTGTCCTGGCAGCTACCATCCTTATCCCTTTCAAGGCCAGACTCAGGAATGTGGTAACTGGGAACCTGTGCTCAGTTGTATAAACAGGTGGGAGGGGGAAATTATGAGTATTTACCAACCTCTGGGAAGTTCCAACAAAGAAGAGCCTTGATTGGACCTGAGAGACCGCCTGATGCTGGAGCGCAAGAAGCTATAGAGGGTTATGCTACCATGCTAGCATGCTCAGATACATTATGCTTCGTGGATTGTAACACATAGATTGCTTTTATGCTACTGTGTGGGTTTTATGCTGCAAGGAATTGACCATCGAATACTAAGATACTCAATGTACTAGATAGAAAAGTTAGCTGCTTTGTTTTCTTATTGCTACCATACGACTGTGCTGCATAGTCAGTTCTTTTAATCATTTAATAAAGCTTCATAGATTTTTACAAGGTCTGTTTTACTTGTGTGCTTCCAACCTCGAGGACGCAAAGGTCTGGGAAATTGTTCAGGGGTTCCATGCAGGGGACCAGGAGCAATAACCCCGGGGGGACCCGTGCTCGGGTCTCTGACACCTCCCGTTTGACTTACAGTTAAAAAGGGCCTTGAAATCTGTCAGTTTTGTTAGTGTATTTTTCACCCCTTGTCTTGGCTATATTATATAAGTGCTGGATTTTCTTGCTTAGGAAGTGCTTTGAGCCCCAGCGAGCAAAAGCCAATCTATTTTTTTTAACTACTTTTGTAATTTGCAGACTATGGGCAGAAAGGTACTGGCGGGATACTAGGGATTTTTTTTTTTACAGGAGGCGTAGTCCAGCAGTGTAATGGGCTGCCTAGGGAGGGGGTGAGTTTCCCTTCACTGGCAGTCTTCAAGCAGCGGCTGGACAAACACTTGTCAGGGATACTCTAGGCCGATCCTGCACTGAGCAGGACTCAGAGGCAGTGTTCCCTCTAAGCTGAGTTAGTGTGAGCTGGCTCACAGTTTTCTAGCCTCCGGTTCACACATTTCTGTCTCAGCTCAGGGAGGATGGCTCCAGAGCAAACCTAATTTATGCAGCAGCCAAATGGCTCGCTCTCAACTTTAATGCCCGTAGCTCACAAAGTAGAATTCTTGCTCACAAGACTCCACAGCTTAGAGGGAACATTGCTCAGAGGATGTACTTAGATGGCCTGTATGGCCCCTTTCTACTCTACGATTCTATTCTAAGATTTTTTGGTGCATCTCTGACTACATTCCAGCCATTTTCCACGATGGGTGTTAAGAAGATTGGGAAAGGAAAAGTGACCAGAGATTAAACCCTCACCTTGAAATGCCTACCCTCCCTAAATAGAAAGGAATGAGGAAAGCCAGTTAATTAATTATCATATGGCATTGTGTGTAGTATCGCCAGGAGATCCTGAGATTGTCTGTCCGCCAGAAGTTCTAGCTCTGTTAGCATTATATACCCACTAGGTGGTGACTTGTTTTTAAAGCAAGAGATGCTTCAGAGGTGGTTTTGCCATTGCCTGCCTCTGCGTCATGATCCTGGTATTCCTTGGAGGCCACCCTTCCAAATACTAGCCAAGGCCGACCCTGCTTAGCTTCTGAGATCTGAC